CAGCCACTATGGAAAACAGTATGGAGATTCCTCAAAAAATCAAGGATAGAACTACCATATGATCCAGCTATTCCACTGCTGGGTGTTTATCCAAAGAACTTGAAAATACCAATGCGTAAAGATACATGCACCCCTGTGTTCATTCCAGCGTTATTCACCATCGCCAAGACTTGGAAGCAACCTAAGTGCCCATCAAGGGACGAATGGATAAAGAAGCTGTGGTATATATACACAATGGAATCCTACTCAGCCATAAGAAACGATGAAATCCAGCCATTTGTGACAACATGGATGGACATTGAGGATATTATGCAAAGTGAAATAAGTCAGAGGGAGAAGGTCAAAGACCATATGATTTCCTTCATTAAGTAGTAGATAATAACAACAATAAACAAACACATAGAGACAGAGAAGGAAAAAAAAAAAAAAACAAAACAGTAAAAACCACTTATCACACACCTCAAGAGCCTTTTTCCTTCCAGACTTCATTGGCGGGACTTTCATATGTATAAAATAAAATTTCATTCCACAATCTAATGGATCACTAACAGTTTTCACAGTAAATAAGCTATTAGTAAATGAGTGTTCTCATCAGAATAAAATCTCTCTCAAAATTCACGATGGTAATCAAAGTCAATTAAATAGGACAGTCACATATGTTATGAAAATTTTCTTGCTATGAATGTGCAGAAAAAATGCCTGAGAAAGACAAATTAAGATTATACTCAGTCAATAAATGTATGTATTTTGAAAGCAGCATTTGTTTTTTTTGTCTGTGTGTGTGTGTGAGGAAGATTAGCCCTGAGCTAACATCTGTTGCCAATCCTCCTCTTTTTGCTGAGGAAGACTGGCCCTGGGCTAACATCTATGCCCGTCTTCCTCCACTTTATATGGGACGTTGCCACAGCGTGGCTTGACAAGCGGTGGGTCGGTGCGCACTCAGGATCCGAACCCTGGACCACTGCAGCAGAGTGTGTGCACTTAACCACTACACCACTGGGCTGGCCCCAACAGCATTCGTTTTTAGAATACAAACAGAATAAGTACTTAGTAAAGTCCACAAACTAATGAAAACTTATTGATTCACATATATGACTGATTGAAACACAAGATTATTGCATTTTCCCAAGTGGTAAATTAAATATATCCTGTATGTAAAAAAAAAAAACAAAAAACACTAACCACCAACTCCCCCCGCACAAAAAAAACACCAAACCATATTGTCAAGCAAAATATTTTTAATTAGTAGGCTGATCATAAATAAATCCACATAAAAGATTTAACAGAATTACAAAGAGTTTTGTGTTCCTTTTGTGGACTCAATTCATGACACGCATTAGTCAACCTCATCCTCTAACTGCGACAAAAAGAACTGTCTCCCAACAATGCAGCAGTTCACCCAACTCACATTCTGTAGTTACATTTCTACATTTTCTTTACAAATGTAACATTTATGTACATTATGTATATTTTCTATAGTTCACGTACTGAAACTCTATTGTTTTTACAGGGAAAATATTGAATTCATTTAATGAATACGAATCATTCCTTGTTAAAAAGTAATTCATATAAATAACATGGGTACCACTGCCTTTTGGCATCTCTTGTCAGAGTTCAAGTCCAGAAATGTTATATTAATTTATCAGAAAAAAGAACTGATCTAATTTTACATTATGACAGATCATCCCACGTGGCTACCTAAACTTGCCGTCTTGCAATGAACAGAGCGCTATACTGCTGCACTACTGGAAATGTGTAGAAACTGACTCAAAACAGACCTGGTGAGAGAGCAACCCACCCCATCAATGAGGCTGCAGGGAATCTGTCTCGGTCCTTCCTCCCAACCTTTCGTCAGCACTCAGGGGTGCTGTGCCGCACTGTGTGCTGTAACAGGCACCTCCTGTCCCTCTCCCCCCGCGCCTCTCTGACAGGTTATGCTTCAACCAGGCTGTGGATCTTCTTATTCAACTTTATTCCACTTCACTTACAAATCTGCCGCTGAACGTGAAGCAAAAATTCATAGTAAGAGAAGGCGGCTTCTGTCCGGTCTTCAATCAAATGCTGAAAAAATTCCGTTTTGGCAGGACTCTCGTCTCTGAAAGAGAGAAAAAGGTATTTATCTAAAAATGCCTATTATTAAAAAGAATAATTATAAATTCAGAAAATTACTAATCCATGGGGACTGCAGGAAAATGGAACAGGGAATATTAATCAAGTAGCATTCTACCACTAGAATATATTGTGATAATATTATTTAAAATTTTGCTTTGAAGACAAGCAATTTCACACCAATTGCACAGGATATGACAATTCCACAATCAAGTTA